TTTGCCTAAGTGCACATTTGTACACAGTCTTTTATTTCATTGCTTTTGGATTAGAAGATACATAGGAATAGAGTAAGTTTTGAGATCACCCTCTGAATGGAGAGTAAAGACTTCTATATAGCTAGGAAATCCAGCCAAGTGGGTAGGAACTGGTTTCCATGTCTAAGACCTGAAAAGGGGCCCCAGGCCTTTGGGTCTAGAGGATATTTCCTATGCTCTGTTTCCATTTAATCTCCCTTTCTGTTTGATTTCCATGATTATCTGATTGAGAAATATCTGGCACTTGTTAGGCATGTTTATTGTCTGTCTACTTGTTTCTTGTTGCGTGGAATGTAGAAAGACAGAAAGAAGAAAACAGGACAAAAATAAATCTAGTTTTTGTTCTGTGTTTTAAAGTTCAAACTAAACTCTAAAGAAAGAGCTCACTGAAGGCTCAAGCCAGGATCTATTACTCTGTGAATATTTCCAAGCTTCTGCCTTTCTCTCCCTCCCTCCCTCTCTCTCTGTCTCTGTCTCTGTCTCTCTCTGTGTGTGTGTGTGTGTGTGTGTGTGTGTGTGTGTGTGTGTGTGTGAGCTCATTGCCATTCTGCCAGTGGCTGTATTGTGTCATTTGTTTCCCTTACAGACAGTGCCAGAGAAGACCTCAAAGTCTGGAGAAAAATGACCTTTGGTGGAATATGAAATGTACCTTCTGTTGCAAGTTTTTCTCTTACTAATCTCTGAAAACTGAACATATGGCCTTGGGTCTATGGAAAATCAACTGATCAAACTCTTCATCGTGCATCAACTGTTCAGACTGGTTTTGGGACAAAAAAGATCTTTCACGAGCCGGGGACCTTTTCTCTTTAGATGACTCTAAGATTGAAGACAGCCTAACAGAAGCTTTGGAGCAGATTAAAATAATTAGCTCATCATCAGTAAGTAAACCCACTTTATACAGTAAATCTCTGAAATGACCTATCCTAGATCGAAAGGTTTGCATATTTCCCGGGGGAAAATAGATCTTTGCCAGAGAAAGAGGTGCTGTGACTCACTTGGTGTCTAAGAAACAGCACCAGGGAAGTCATCAGTTTAGGGGAAGTAAGGCTGCCTTTTGTCTACTCACAGAGACTAGAACTGTGGAATTCCAGAGTGGAATTCTCAAAACTAATTATTTTAGGGTCTATTTTTTGCATCCTTGAAATGGCTCGGAGAGGAGAGGCAACAAATTCAAGAAAAAGCAGACCCACCAAGGGCACAACAGCATCCGCAGGTGAAGCAGGATATACGGTGGAGGCTGAATAATGAAAGAAGGCAGGCTGACACCTCCTGCCACACGGGTAATATGAAAGAAGAGCAACAGTTGCTCTGCTGCCGGAAGTGACAGTTGCCCAGGACTTGGTAATGCTGATTCTGTTGACTCGTGTGTTGTCTCTATTATTTTTATCTTTCCTTTTTTCTATTTTTCTTCCTGCCCTTCGTCATTTAATTCAATTTACCTGTTATTAATCCCTGATGTGATCATTTAGATCACAAAGGGGTTGGATGTTGAGTGCTCAGCGTGGCTTGATATTGACCTTGGTTGTGCTCAGACCCATCTATGACACTGGTTCCACTGCAGAGGAATGGCCACCAAACATCCTGTCACGTCCTACACTTCAATAGTGCTTGCCAACGCTTGGCACAGACACCTGCTGGGAAGAAGAAAGTGCAAGGACTCAGCCCATAAAGTACTGAATTGGCACGTGTGCACATATTTCAGATCTAACAGCTCTCTTCCAGGTTATAATAAAGTGATGTTTAAAAAGCATGCTGGCACCCAGTGCAGCTTGCCGCTCAAGCCTGTCAGCATGTTCTCTTGATGATAGCCGTGAACGTGCCAAATTTCCCTCTGACTCTGAAGTCATTGCCCATGCACCCTTCTTTTCTCAGGTAGTGTCTTCAACAGCAATCACGCGTCCACATTTTTTCCAGCACGTTAGTCAACGTGCTATGACTCAAAACACAGAGTTTTCCGGGAATATTTCCACTTTCTGTGCTGTTTCTAGCAGCCTCCTCCTCCAATCCTCTGGAAATAAATTGACCTGAGTATGCCACTGATTTTTATCTTCCTAATAGAAAGCCAAAAACAAAAAAAAGTCAAAATTCCCTAACGTGTATTTCCACCAGAGGTCACTAGTGGTCAGTGATTTCTTTTGTTTCCTTCATCAGTTGCTTTGTTTCACGTGTCAAATTGAGAACTGCGGGTCCTATTAACATATCCCCACTAGTTTAACTATTAAGGCTAGCAGATCCCTTGTCATTAGGAGCATTGTCAGAACTTTAAACGCTGTGATTAACAACCTTCTCAACCGGCAAGTCAGGGCAGCAAGTCCATTTGCCTTCATTTACCACAATTGCATGTCACTTCATCTACTTATCTGTAACCATGGAGGGAGCAGAGAAAGATGGTGAGTTCTAATATGCATGTATTCAATTCGGGGTAACCAATGCCAATATCCCCTTGTCCTTTTTTCCGATTAACCCACTGAGCCACCCTGCTGACTTTCTTGTTAGCTGCACTGTATCCTCCCCAGGTCTTCCTTATTTGGACATTTCCTGGTGAGCCTGCATGTCAGTAATGAGAACAGAGAGTACTAAAGTGCCTTCTAAATTGCCTTTTCCAGCTTCTTTCCAGGACAGAAATCCCTACCTGACAGGTGGGCGGCCTTCTGCACTTGCAAGGATGAGGATATAGGAAAATTTTGATTTTTTTTTTCCTTCTCTCGAATTTCCTTTGGTAAAATAGTTTCTTTTCATTGAAAGAAACTTTGATGGGAGCTTCATCAGGGTTCCTTTCCACTGACAGCTATGGGTTCCCTACCCTGTCCTGGCAAGGGAAGCAGAGGAATGAGGGGGACACCTGACCCACTTGTCCATCAGAATTTATTTCCCAGTAATTCTAGGAAAGAAATCGGAATAGGGTGGTTTATCATGATAACACAGTAATGCCCCAAAAGGCAATCCTTTGTGTTCTTGCTCTCTGTCACTGCCTTGCCATTGGCCTTTTCTAAACCCAAATATTTGTCTTTTTTCAAATCTGTGAACCAGCTTTTCTATTTTAATTTTTATCATTTGCTCTAGCTATCCTCACTTATTCTGTCGCTTATGCTTGAAGAACTCTGACAAAGACACATCTCCTTGTTATTAGAAGGAAGCTCAAATGCTTAGCATGTTCCTTCTTTTAGCCATATGAAATCTTGCTCTTTGGGCTTTCTACTCACGGTCTTTGTTCTATTCCAACAATTCAAAGTCTAGATCTGTTCGTACAAGAAAAACTAGATCTGTGAAGTTAAGCATCAGCTCTCACCTCTTGCTTCTCTCTTTCCAACTAAACATCCTTGGCTTCCTTGTATTCTTGCACGGCAATAGACCCTGTGTCTAGAAAGGGTTGTGCCGTCTGACATCATCAGCCTTAACTGTCAGAAAAGTCCTGCTGTCTAAGTACAAGCTTTGGAAGGATGAATTAGAACCCAAATTGATTGATTTACGATGAAAAGCGTAACTCATATGGGTCTGAATTTGTGTGTGCTTTACGCTGTCCATCTCCTGTCTACTTGCTCAGCCTTTATAGAAAGGGGCTACTTTGTTGCTTATATTTCTTCCTCCTCTATTACTGTGTATTCCATCCTTCCTCCCCGAGACACGGATCACTCACGTGGGTAGTCACCTTGTGCGCACATGGTGTCCATTCAGGCTGTAGCTGCTAATCCCACAAGGACGCGTAGTTCATTAGCTTAGTAATACCTCCAAGAGCAATGTTGTTTCCAAGGCCTCGGAGAATGCTTCGCTGCAGCTTGAAGTACTGTCTACCTTCTGAACATCCTGGTTGCCCCCCGTGGAATCTTCTCAATTTATTATTGTGATTTATCACGGCTCAGTACTTGGAACAATTGATTGCACTGAACAAATACAATACGTTTTTAAATTTTCCGTTCTATAGTAATATCACGCCTTGTCCATATTTACCTTGCAGTGTACTAAGACATTTAGGTTGAACCAAATCTTGTCATTATATAACTTGAAAGATTTTTAAGTAGTTTATGCCACATTTTAAACCACTGCTAACATGTTCGTCTTTAGACTTCAGCGCAGTTGATTGATACCCTTTAAAACAGGATTCCGTCAAATGTCTTATGTAATTACTCCAAGGTTTCTATCCAAAAATCTGCTAAGCAAACCTCTGATCTTTCCCCCAAAGTTATCCACAAAGTTATTGGACCTTATTAGATTCCACTCCCAGTCCATGTTCTCGTTTACTGTCAGTTATCCCAGTACACTGCTATAAAATGTTTTGTCTTTATGCCTTTCTTTGAAAATGGGACTCCTCACTCAAAATTCTTTCTAATTTCCTTAGAGTATCTCTTTCCCTTTTCAAATCCTTTCTGGACTACCTTTCTAATAATGATTTCCTTTACTAACTTGGCTTTCTTCCCAGGCATCTTCAAATGAGATTGTCTTCTTATCCACTCAAATGTTTCTGCCACTTTCCTACAGATACTCACCACATGCCCAATCAGTCCACCCACTTTCCAGTTCTCTTTAATTTTTTTAAACAATGAAACATATTAATCACACAAAAACACTCCATTTAAGAAGTTAGGCAAAGGGCTGGGGATTTAGCTCAGTGGTGTGATGCCTGCCTCACAAGTGCAAGGTCCCCAGTTCAGTCCTTGGCACTGGAAAAAAAAAAAAAAAGAAGTTGGGCATAATTAGAATTCTCTTTCTCTTTCTAATCCAGTTCTCCTCCCTTAAGTTTCCCAGGTTAGTCAGTATCCTCATGTGGTCGTGATCTGTACATGGTTTTATTTTTTTGCTGCATATGCATGGTTCTAAAAGTATTAATAGCATTATAATGTATTTCATGTTTTTAAACTTTATATAAGTAATGTCATAATGTTCCATACTAGCTTTTGAGATTTATCCATTTTTTTTCAGCTTTAATTGAGTTTATTTTAGGGATACAGTACAGTTACATTCATTGTTGGGATCCTGTACCTTTACATGACAAGTCTTGGTTCTCATTTTTTCTCCTTACCCCTGCCCTCCCTTCATCCCCTCCTCCCCTCCCGATCTACAAACACTTTATTTCCATCTTTTCATTATCTCACATTTTTTTTTCTTTTCCCTTATTACCCTTCCCCTACCCATCTCACCTCCCCTACACCTTTAGCTCCTTTCTTCCCATTTCTAAATGTCAGTAATCTTATTAGTATCTTCTGTATTATTGCAGATTATTCACACCAGAAGATTTATCCATTTTGATACATGAAGTTTCATTTGTGTGATGGACAGTATATTCCATTATATGAATATGCACTATTTGTACATTCTTCTTCTTTTAATTAAAACATGACTCATTTATTGTGAAATAGCATTCTTTTATTTCCTTTTTTGGTATTATATTATTTATTGGTACTATTTAAGTATACTGTATAGTTACATTCATCACTGGGATCTTGTACCTTTACATGAAAGTCTTGGTTCTCATTTTTTCCCCTTGTCCCTGCCCTCCCTTCGCCCCCTCCACCCTCTCCTATTTACAAAGACTTTGTTTCCATTTTTTCCTTTTCTTATATTTTTTCTTTCCCCTACCCTTCCCATTTCCCCTACACCTTTAGCCCCTTTCCCCCTATTTCACTTTATCAGTTATACAATTTGAATTTCACTTACAATTTTAGTTTTTCACACCAGAGAAACTATTCAGTATTTACATGTGTCCATTCTTCTTTTGACTGACATTTATTTTTTATACAGTGCTACAATAGACATTGTTATAATTAGGGATTTTGGCAAATGAGTATTTGTAAGATACACAACAAAAAGTAGAACAACTGGTTTTAGACTTCTGTGTACCTCCAACTTTAATGATATACATCAAGTTGCTTTCTAATGTGAG